ACAACCTTGAGATTCATCAAATGGATGTAAAAATGGCATTCCTGAATGGTGAGTTAGAAATGGAGATATACATGGAACAACCCAAAGGGTTCTTCTCTCCTAATCACAAACACAAGGTTTGTAAACTCGTTAAATCCTTGTATGGATTGAAACAAGCTCCTAAACAATAGCACCAAAAGTTTGACAAAATGATGTTGTCAAAAGGATTTAAGATAAACGAGTGTGACAAATGCGTGTGTATATATAAAACATACATCAAATGCCTATGTAATTTTGTGTCTATATATAAATGACATGTTGATAATGGGCAATAGTNNNNGACATGTTGATAATGGGCAATAGTCATGAAATGTTACTAAAAACCAAGAAAATGCTAACAAAGCAATTTGATATGAAAGATATGGGTATGACTGATGTGATACTACGGATTAAGAACTCTAGAACACTGGAATAAATAGTACTTTCCCAATCTCATTATATTGAGAGTATACTAAAGAAGCATATTATATTTGAGGATGAAAACTCCTATTGACACAAGTTTACACTTAGTCAAAAATACGGGTGAATGTGTGTCACAATTAAAGTATTCACAGATTATCGACAATTTAATGTATATTATGAACTGCACTCGACCGGATATAGCCTTTGCTGTGAATAAACTTAGTAGATTCACAAGTAATCCAAGCCATGATCATTGGAAGGTTTTAACAAGAGTTCTTAGATACTTGAAGTATACCTTAACCTACGGATTACACTTCTCAAAATATCCTGCGGTATTGGAAGATATTGTGATGCGAATTGGATATCCAACATAAAGGATTCCAAGGCTACTAGTGATTATGTATTTACCATTGGTGGAACTGCTATATCATGAAAATCAACAAAGCAAATGTGTATAGCTCGATCAATGATGGAATCTGAGTTCATTACTTTGGATAAAGTTGGAGAAGAAGCAGTATGGCTTCATAACTTTTTGGAAGATATTCCATGTTAGCCCAAGCATATACCTGCAATAAGCATACATTGTGATAGTCAATCGGCTATTGGAAGGGTTCAAAGCAGCATGTATAATGGTAAATCTAGACATATCATAATAACATTAAACAACTAATCTCTAATGACATCTGATGAGTGCTCTACACTCATGATATTTATGCC